GTATATTCTTTTTGTTATAGAAGTCACAAAATACATGCTGTTACTACACAGTATAGGGCCTTGTGATTCATATACAATTATAGTTTCAATTGTGTGAAAGTGATGTTCTTGTAATCTCAATTGTAGATTCTATTGCATATAGAGCGAATTGATATGGCAACATATCTTTGAGAATTGAAGTTTATGGCGGTTCTTCAGGTATGTTCTAGCAATTCACTGAAGTACTATTTGTTCGCTAAGGTATGTTGTCCCAGCGGTACGCACGAACCTGGAATATCACAATGCTGATAGCCTCACAACTATGGACAATAATATATTAATTTACTTGTTCCTTGTTTCTCAATTTTAGATCAAATAAATTATGGCAACCCAAGAGTCGCTAACAATTATTACCTTTATCTATTCACTGACTACACCTCCATCCATTGCTGTGCCATACATGGATTTGATTGACTGACATACCAAGCAAGGTAAATATTGCAGGCTACATGGTATATGTTCAGTTTATTATTATGTCATATTAAGACTGTTGGACATTATTTTTTTATTCAGTAATTCCCCTATATGGGAATGTGATAAAATTCGAAGTTAACCCCTAGTAAAGATTTCACAAAATCAATTGAAATAACGTTGTACTTCGACTGGTTTCAATTCTGGAGGCCCCATATATGGCACAATTATCTGCATTATCGTTTCATTTTTGTTGATGATTGTTTCGATGGTGTTTTGGTGCCGGAAGATAGAATAATTGATACTAATTATTGCCCCCCGTACTGAAGACACATAACATCCCAGATAATAGCAAAAGTTGTTCGGAATGCGGATAAGTCGACAGGACATGGTCGCTTAAATGAGGCAGCTTCTTGATCTGCACGGAAAAATTACCAGGACCAATGCATTCAAATTGACTTTGGCATAAAAGATGTTGTCGGAGCGATTTCACTCAAAGTCGCCGTATTTATAATTAGTGGGTGAAGAGCTACTCTATATCCTATAGTTCCGACGGGCAAAAATTCGCTCATTACAAAATAAATGGATTAGTCAGGGTTAGCTGGATTAATAAGCAAGGCTCCTACAGATTACCCTCTCACGTTATATGCATCACATCATTTCCATGTGAAAACGTTCGCAGAATGCGCTCTGCTTTCGTAAAACGAAATCACGGACAAAACTCTGAATTGAGATTAAGTTCAATACACAACCGACACAAACCTTTATAAGCGTTTCGTCATCCGAGGAACACAGTAAAACATTTTGTTGCTAGAGATGAAAAAGTTAAATTATGGTCGTTAAAGTTTAGGATATAAAGAGTAGTTATAAATAAATAAGCACGCGCTTACCTTCGAATCCCTGTTGGTGATGCCATTTTCATGTAAGGGCTAAAAATACGAAACAGTATGAATAAAGTTAGTTAAGTTCAGGCTCCTGTAGTAAAACTGGATCAATAACAGATGATCCTTAGCTTGGTGTCATTAAAAGCGCCAATCTCTTCCTGACATTTTCCATAAACTTTAGTCTTCGCGTGTGAAAAATATTCCAACTTGTTTCATTCATTCTTCGAAGACTACACATGGCTAGACTCGCGCTAAACGACATCCTCACCGGAAAGCACATTGCTTTCATAGTTGGTTTAGTTGTCAATCGCAGTCTGTAGTACAGATCGTTAAACAACTCGAGCCTGAAAACAAAATAGAAAATTCGATCGAATCATGAATTGTTTCATCCATGATTCTATACTTCTCTACTACATACTGCAGGACTAATAACATTGTGTGAACTGTGCAGCAATATAGAGAATAAGACGCTGAGGTATATTATATATTAGGTATCTGGAATCGTTTTTATGACGCGGGAAGCAAGACAGTAGTTTGAATATTTGCAAATCCTGATAGATAAATGTCGTGGACTCACACATTTGTTATCGGCGTCTCCCCGTCGTTTTGTTCCAACAAGACTCTCAAATAATAGTCGCCTGATAGGAGAGATACGTTACTGAGTTTGATTGCGATCGAGGGAGGGGGGGCGCTTTAAGAAGAACTGTTAAAAAGCTAGAGCAGTATAAGGCTTATCACTAACCTATTTTCAGTTGATCAGCTAAACATTCATGCAGGACTTCAAACTAAAGGTGATTCCAAAAACAACGTAGTTTCCACTCAGGTCTTTTTCCATTGCAAATTTGCGCATCTCAGATTCGAGAGCCCCAGAAGTTCCTCTCGCGTCTGTCACATTGAAAACAAAAGAAATTTTTTCATACTCTTTTACGACAACAGTTTAGAGAAAGAGGTCAGGACTATTGAATTGTCTTGTTATACTCATAGCGACAGGAAATTCTCCATTACCTTTTCATTTCCTATATTTTCAATGGAAACTAACTTTAACTTCGAGACTCACCTTGTAATTCCAAATCAGGTTGTACGCTGTCAGATCTTGACTGAATCTGTAAAAAAGATCCGTTTAAATACCATTGCTTTTTCATCTTTCAAACGACTAGAACATTTCCCATTTTCTTAATATGAACACTTACTTGTAATAAACAACTGGATTTAAATTCTCACATCTTTCCTGGCTTTGAATCCTATTTTTGTCCTCCAATGCGAGAGATATCCTTCAAGTTGATTCCTTGACGTTCCACTCGCTTTTCCTGAGCTGTAACAGACAAGTATAGCGCGTGAAATAACAGGCTTATACGTACATACAAGCATGCATCATGAAATTTTGGAACACGATTGTTCCTTTAAAACGTACTCTGCAAGCTTTACATTGTCACGAATTGATAAATGATCTTCTTTAGTCTCCGGTGGCTGAAGGAAAGATAAAAACTTTCCAACAAAATTGCTTCTTTACAAAAAGGTTTTACACTTCTGAATGAATTACTATGTAATTATTTCGTCAGTGGGGCAGTTGGCACAGTATAAGGATGAATGATGGAGTTTAGTTACCAAAGCAGTTGATACCACTTAGTCACTATTATGATTGGTTAGTCAGAACCACTGAATGGGTTTATGTAAATAATGGCCCTCGCAAAAAATTCTCAAAGATTTCCTACCTCGTCAGGGCTTTCAAGGTAATAGAGCAAACCAGCAGGCTGTGAAAATCGTATTCAAATTTATTACATAATGGTTTATGAACCAAAACTTACGAACAGGAAATCCCGCATTTAAACTTTATTGTATATTTTAGACATTAAAAACTATAACTGCTTTAATACGAACATTATTCTCACAAGTAATGCCATTGCTCTTGGATGACCAGTTGTCCAGAGAGCCACTAGATGTCCACTCAATTGCCTATATGCCAACAATAAAGATTATAAATTACTTATGGAGTATGCTTGTTAGTCTCAATTGAACTATTTGCAGATGGCTAGTATATAGAGGATTATAAAATGACAAGTTTTAGATGAATCTAAGAATGTTGCTAAAATACAACTCAGGTCCTCCGGATGGAATCGAGGCTATACATCTGCAACAATTTGTTAATTTATCACACTAATTCGCACCTGTTCAGTAGCGAACGTCTATCAGTGCTTTGCGTAATCATGGCCATGCGTAAGCGTTTTGGTAGAGCGCCCTTGGCAAGCGCCAAATCTTGTATTTTTGCCGCGGTTTCTTCATCAGCTTCCTAAAGTGAAGTTCTAAATAAATATCAACAGATGATTTTAGGCACTTCACACGGTGCAGGAATATTCTAGAGGTTTTAAAGGGTCTTAATTTCGTGTGGTATTATACACACTTCAAATTCAAGCCAGGAACAGTTGATGGAAAAATTAGTCAACTATACGTTCTCAGTGACAAGAGCATTGCACCGGCATCGCAAAAGCGATTCCTGCCGGAGGATCTATAGTTGACTCATTTTTCCATCAACTGTTCCTGGCTTGAATTGAAGTGTGTATAATACTTCTCAAATTAAGACGCTTTAAAACCTCTTAAATATCGACTGTTGTGAAAAGACAGTAGTTTGAATATTTGCAAATCCTGATAGATAAATGTCGTGGACTCACACATTTGTTATCGGCGTCTCCCCGTCATTTTGTTCCAACAAGACTCTCAAATAATAGTCGCCTGATAGGAGAGATACGTTACTGAGTTTGATTGCGATCGAGGGATAGGGGGGGGCGCTTTAAGAAGAACTGTTAAAAAGCTAGAGCAGTATAAGGCTTATCACTAACCTATTTTCAGTTGATCAGCTAAACATTCATGCAGGACTTCAAACTAAAGGTGATTCCAAAAAACAACGTAGTTTCCACTCAGGTCTTTTTCCATTGCAAATTTGCGCATCTCAGATTCGAGAGCCCCAGAAGTTCCTCTCGCGTCTGTCACATTGAAAAAAAAGAAATTTTTTCATACTCTTTTACGACACAGTTTAGAGAAAGAGGTCAGGACTATTGAATTGTCTTGTTATACTCATAGCGACAGGAAATTCTCCATTACCTTTTCATTTCCTATGTTTTCAATGGAAACTAACTTTAACTTCGAGACTCACCTTGTAATTCCAAATCAGGTTGTACGCTGTCAGATCTTGACTGAATCTGTAAAAAGATCCGTTTAAATACCATTGTTTTTCATCTTTCAAACGACTAGAACATTTCCCATTTTCTTAATATGAACACTTACTTGTAATAAGACAACTGGATTTAAATTCTCACATCTTTCCTGGCTTTGAATCCTATTTTTGTCCTCCAATGCGAGAGATATCCTTCAAGTTGATTCCTTGACGTTCCTCTCGCTTTTCCTGAGCTGTAACAGACAAGTATAGCGCGTGAAATAACATGCTTATACGTACATACAAGCATGCATCATGAAATTTTGGAACACGATTGTTGCTTTAAAACGTACTCTGCAAGCTTTACATTGTCACGAATTGATAAATGATCTTCTTTAGTCTCCGGTAGCTGAAGGAAAGATAAAAACTTTCCAACAAAATTGCTTCTTTACAAAAAGGTTTTACACTTCTGAATGAATTACTATGTAATTATTTCGTCAGTGGGGCAGTTGGCACAGTATAAGGATGAATGATGGAGTTTAGTTTACCAAAGCAGTTGATACCACTTAGTCACTATCATGTTTGGTTAGTCAGAACCACTGCAATGGGTTTATGTAAATAATGGCCCTCGCAAAAAATTCTCAAAGATTTCCTACCTCGTCAGGGCTTTCAAGGTAATAGAGCAAACCAGCAGGCTGTGAAAATCGTATTCAAATTTATTACATAATGGTTTATGAACCAAAACTTACGAACAGGAAATCCCGCATTTAAACTTTATTGTATATTTTAGACATTAAAAACTATAACTGCTTTAATACGAACATTATTCTCACAAGTAATGCCATTGCTCTTGGATGACCAGTTGTCCGGAGAGCCACTAGATGTCCACTCAATTGCCTATATGCCAACAATAAAGATTATAAATTACTTATGGAGTATGCTTGTTAGTCTCAATTGAACTATTTACAGATGGCTAGTATATAGAGGATTATAAAATCACAAGTTTTAAGATGAATCTAAGAATGTTGCTAAAATACAACTCAGGTCCTCCGGATGGAATCGAGGCTATACATCTGCAACAATTTGTTAATTTATCACACTAATTCGCACCTGTTCAGTAGCGAACGTCTATCAGTGCTTTGCGTAATCATGGCCATGCGTAAGCGTTTTGGTAGAGCGCCCTTGGCAAGCGCCAAATCTTGTATTTTTGCCGCGGTTTCTTCATCAGCTTCCTAAAGTGAAGTTCTAAATAAATATCAACAGATGATTTTAGGCACTTCACACGGTGCAGGAATATTCTAGAGGTTTTAAAGGGTCTTAATTTCGTGTGGTATTATACACACTTCAAATTCAAGCCAGGAACAGTTGATGGAAAATTAGTCAACTATACGTTCTCAGTGACAAGAGCATTGCACCGGCATCGCAAAAGCGATTCCTGCCGGAGGATCTATAGTTGACTCATTTTTCCATCAACTGTTCCTGGCTTGAATTGAAGTGTGTATACTTCTCAAAATTAAGACGCTTTAAAACCTCTTAAATATCGACTGTTGTGAAAAGACAGTAGTTTGAATATTTGCAAATCCTGATAGATAAATGTCGTGGACTCACACATTTGTTATCGGCGTCTCCCCGTCATTTGTTCCAACAAGACTCTCAAATAATAGTCGCCTGATAGGAGAGATACGTTACTGAGTTTGATTGCGATCGAGGGATAGGGGGGGCGCTTTAAGAGAACTGTTAAAAAGCTAGAGCAGTATAAGGCTTATCACTAACCTATTTTCAGTTGATCAGCTAAACATTCATGCAGGACTTCAAACTAAAGGTGATTCCAAAAACGTACTCTAGGTCTTTTTTCCATTGCAAATTTGCGCATCTCAGATTCGAGAGCCCCAGAAGTTCCTCTCGCGTCTGTCACATTGAAAACAAAAGAAATTTTTCATACTCTTTTACGACAACAGTTTAGAGAAAGAGTCTATTGAATTGTCTTGTTATACTCATAGCGACAGGAAATTCTCCATTACCTTTTCATTTCCTATATTTTCAATGGAAACTAACTTTAACTTCGAGACTCACCTTGTAATTCCAAATCAGGTTGTACGCTGTCAGATCTTGACTGAATCTGTAAAAAAGATCCGTTTAAATACCATTGCTTTTTCATCTTTCAAACGACTAGAACATTTCCCATTTTCTTAATATGAACACTTACTTGTAATAAAACAACTGGATTTAAATTCTCACATCTTCCTGGCTTTGAATCCTATTTTTGTCCTCCAATGCGAGAGATATCCTTCAAGTTGATTCCTTGACGTTCCTCTCGCTTTTCCTGAGCTGTAACAGACAAGTATAGCGCGTGAAATAACAGGCTTATACGTACATACAAGCATGCATCATGAAATTTTGGAACACGATTGTTGCTTTAAAACGTACTCTGCAAGCTTTACATTGTCACGAATTGATAAATGATCTTCTTTAGTCTCCGGTGGCTGAAGGAAAGATAAAAACTTTCCAACAAAATTGCTTCTTTACAAAAAGGTTTTACACTTCTGAATGAATTACTATGTAATTATTTCGTCAGTGGGGCAGTTGGCACAGTATAAGGATGAATGATGGAGTTTAGTTACCAAAGCAGTTGATACCACTTAGTCACTATTATGATTGGTTAGTCAGAACCACTGCAATGGGTTTATGTAAATAATGGCCCTCGCAAAAAATTCTCAAAGATTTCCTACCTCGTCAGGGCTTTCAAGGTAATAGAGCAAACCAGCAGGCTGTGAAAATCGTATTCAAATTTATTACATAATGGTTTATGAACCAAAACTTACGAACAGGAAATCCCGCATTTAAACTTTATTGTATATTTTAGACATTAAAAACTATAACTGCTTTAATACGAACATTATTCTCACAAGTAATGCCATTGCTCTTGGATGACCAGTTGTCCAGAGAGCCACTAGATGTCCACTCAATTGCCTATATGCCAACAATAAAGATTATAAATTACTTATGGAGTATGCTTGTTAGTCTCAATTGAACTATTTACAGATGGCTAGTATATAGAGGATTATAAAATCACAAGTTTTAAGATGAATCTAAGAATGTTGCTAAAATACAACTCAGGTCCTCCGGATGGAATCGAGGCTATACATCTGCAACAATTTGTTAATTTATCACACTAATTCGCACCTGTTCAGTAGCGAACGTCTATCAGTGCTTTGCGTAATCATGGCCATGCGTAAGCTTTTGGTAGAGCGCCCTTGGCAAGCGCCAAATCTTGTATTTTTGCCGCGGTTTCTTCATCAGCTTCCTAAAGTGAAGTTCTAAATAAATATCAACAGATGATTTTAGGCACTTCACACGGTGCAGGAATATTCTAGAGGTTTTAAAGGGTCTTAATTTCGTGTGGTATTATACACACTTCAAATTCAAGCCAGGAACAGTTGATGGAAAAATTAGTCAACTATACGTTCTCAGTGACAAGAGCATTGCACCGGCATCGCAAAAGCGATTCCTGCCGGAGGATCTATAGTTGACTCATTTTTCCATCAACTGTTCCTGGCTTGAATTGAAGTGTGTATAATACTTCTCAAAATTAAGACGCTTTAAAACCTCTTAAATATCGACTGTTGTGAAAAGACAGTAGTTTGAATATTTGCAAATCCTGATAGATAAATGTCGTGGACTCACACATTTGTTATCGGCGTCTCCCCGTCGTTTTGTTCCAACAAGACTCTCAAATAATAGTCGCCTGATAGGAGAGATACGTTACTGAGTTTGATTGCGATCGAGGGATAGGGGGGGCGCTTTAAGAAGAACTGTTAAAAAGCTAGAGCAGTATAAGGCTTATCACTAACCTATTTTCAGTTGATCAGCTAAACATTCATGCAGGACTTCAAACTAAAGGTGATTCCAAAAAACAACGTAGTTTCCACTCAGGTCTTTTTCCATTGCAAATTTGCGCATCTCAGATTCGAGAGCCCCAGAAGTTCCTCTCGCGTCTGTCACATTGAAAACAAAAGAAATTTTTTCATACTCTTTTACGACAACAGTTTAGAGAAAGAGGTCAGGACTATTGAATTGTCTTGTTATACTCATAGCGACAGGAAATTCTCCATTACCTTTTCATTTCCTATATTTTCAATGGAAACTAACTTTAACTTCGAGACTCACCTTGTAATTCCAAATCAGGTTGTACGCTGTCAGATCTTGACTGAATCTGTAAAAAAGATCCGTTTAAATACCATTGCTTTTTCATCTTTCAAACGACTAGAACATTTCCCATTTTCTTAATATGAACACTTACTTGTAATAAAACAACTGGATTTAAATTCTCACATCTTTCCTGGCTTTGAATCCTATTTTTGTCCTCCAATGCGAGAGATATCCTTCAAGTTGATTCCTTGACGTTCCTCTCGCTTTTCCTGAGCTGTAACAGACAAGTATAGCGCGTGAAATAACAGGCTTATACGTACATACAAGCATGCATCATGAAATTTTGGAACACGATTGTTGCTTTAAAACGTACTCTGCAAGCTTTACATTGTCACGAATTGATAAATGATCTTCTTTAGTCTCCGGTGGCTGAAGGAAAGATAAAAACTTTCCAACAAAATTGCTTCTTTACAAAAAGGTTTTACACTTCTGAATGAATTACTATGTAATTATTTCGTCAGTGGGGCAGTTGGCACAGTATAAGGATGAATGATGGAGTTTAGTTACCAAAGCAGTTGATACCACTTAGTCACTATTATGATTGGTTAGTCAGAACCACTGCAATGGGTTTATGTAAATAATGGCCCTCGCAAAAAATTCTCAAAGATTTCCTACCTCGTCAGGGCTTTCAAGGTAATAGAGCAAACCAGCAGGCTGTGAAAATCGTATTCAAATTTATTACATAATGGTTTATGAACCAAAACTTACGAACAGGAAATCCCGCATTTAAACTTTATTGTATATTTTAGACATTAAAAACTATAACTGCTTTAATACGAACATTATTCTCACAAGTAATGCCATTGCTCTTGGATGACCAGTTGTCCAGAGAGCCACTAGATGTCCACTCAATTGCCTATATGCCAACAATAAAGATTATAAATTACTTATGGAGTATGCTTGTTAGTCTCAATTGAACTATTTACAGATGGCTAGTATATAGAGGATTATAAAATCACAAGTTTTAAGATGAATCTAAGAATGTTGCTAAAATACAACTCAGGTCCTCCGGATGGAATCGAGGCTATACATCTGCAACAATTTGTTAATTTATCACACTAATTCGCACCTGTTCAGTAGCGAACGTCTATCAGTGCTTTGCGTAATCATGGCCATGCGTAAGCGTTTTGGTAGAGCGCCCTTGGCAAGCGCCAAATCTTGTATTTTTGCCGCGGTTTCTTCATCAGCTTCCTAAAGTGAAGTTCTAAATAAATATCAACAGATGATTTTAGGCACTTCACACGGTGCAGGAATATTCTAGAGGTTTTAAAGGGTCTTAATTTCGTGTGGTATTATACACACTTCAAATTCAAGCCAGGAACAGTTGATGGAAAAATTAGTCAACTATACGTTCTCAGTGACAAGAGCATTGCACCGGCATCGCAAAAGCGATTCCTGCCGGAGGATCTATAGTTGACTCATTTTTCCATCAACTGTTCCTGGCTTGAATTGAAGTGTGTATAATACTTCTCAAAATTAAGACGCTTTAAAACCTCTTAAATATCAACTGAACTAATATGTACATTCATCAGAGCTAAAAAAGGGCAGAGCATTATAAATGACGTTCGTCAAAAGCAGAAAATTCTGAATGGATCAATGAATGAATAAAACGTACCTCGATTATCGCCTTCAGAACCATACCAGCACCTTTCAAATTGTTGTCGACGGATGCTGAAATTGTTGAGGAACGAATTCAAAACCGCGATTGGTAAGAACTATTAGCGGGGCAATAGTAAAACATACATAAGCGAAGAAATGGTAAAATTGGTACTATTTATTGCGTTTTATCGTAAACCTACCTGGAACAATCGATAAATGCAATGACCGATTTCTAGACACACAAATAACAGACTTCATGAGTTGCTCCCATGCATAGGTCAAGCTAGTGGTCGTGGTAGACTTCACAAAAATGTAAAGAGAGAAAGGCAATTTAATCAACTCT